AAAAAAAAAAGGTTGAGAAGGGAGAGGGTTGACATGTTGTGGGGTTGTTAACCAATGTCATAAAATAATATGTGTACTACTGTTTCATAAGAAACTATTTGTTCTGTAAGCCTTCACCTGAAGTACAATTAAAAAAAATTCTTGCCATCAAGAAAAAAAAATCTTATTTGAACAAAGACCTGAAGGGAATAAAGGAGTGGGCTATGCAGAAAAAAAAAAAAAAAGTGAAGTATAACATTAGTTTCGTATAGGCTCTCCAGGAGTAGGAGTGGAATACTGTAAGTTTGGTTTTAGAATCTGTCTGACAAGGAAGAGCAGCCCATTCTCTGAAAGACTAACAACTTTCCCACATTTAAACATCTGGGGAGCTCTGCTCAGAAGGAAAGTCTGAATTTTAATGGCGCTAAATTAACAACAATTTAAAAATGGATTTTGTAGAATCTTATTATTAGAGGAAACACTTTGCAAAGCCATATACTGAGTCAAGCACCACATGTTAGTTTTGAAATGTGCATTTTCCAAGTGAACAGAATTTACTTCACCACAAAGATGTTTTTGCACAATTCATAATACTCATGAAAATATGATTGTATCAGTAGAAAAAAAAAGCTCACGTTCCTAATGATACACTTCACAAGCAACAAATTAGTGCAATGCTTTAATAATTTTGGGGGGTAAAAACAAATAATCTGCCAATATAATATATCTACTTATTCCTAATTGTACCTAGGAATGAATAAGTACTCTTATTTAAAGTACTATTGAATTGCAAAGAACTGCTCAATAAATTAGTGTTATTAATAAAATTGTACTCTTTGCAATACATTTGCCTCAGCACAAATGCAGATTTAAAAACATAAAACTATAAAAAACAAACAGTACAGCAAACAATAGAGATTAGGTATTATCACCTTAAAATCCTAATGTCCATTATTACCATTAAATACAACATCAGTTATTTATTGTACATAACTAAAATTTTAAAAGACTTGCACATAAAATTAGAGGCTTTTTTAAAAATGCCTATTTGCCAAAACAGGTTCTATGCCCTTTTGCTAATTATTATCTTTCTTTGGGGCCCTGGTGGTGCAGTGGTTAAGCATGTTAGGCTGCTGACCAAAAGGTCAGCAGTTCGAATCCACCAGCCATTCCTTGGAAATCCTATGGGGCAGTTCTACTCTGTCCTATCGGGTTGCTATGAGTCGGAATCGACTCCATGGCAATGGGTTTGGTTGAGGCATTTTCAAAGACACATCTGTAGCAGTTAGGTCTAAATTTAGAGCAGAACATTCTGTCAGATATATTACTATATCACAAAATGTTGTAGTACTGTATTTTATAATAAACCCAAATTCTCAAATATTCTGGTATGTTACATATTATTATACCAAAAAAATTTTCTGTAAGTCTATTATATACATAATATTTTAAAAAATAATGGATGTTTCAGTCTTACCAAGAAAGTATAATACAATACAGGATATTAAATTTATCTTTAGTCAAAATCCATTTAGGTGTTTGACAGGGAAACTAGCAATCATAAGCTCTAACGTATGTAGTCTCAAGAACAAAATGACCAACGATAATACATAAAGGTACGTTCACTGGGGCAAGTTAGCTAGTGTGCAGACTGAGAAGGATAAACTTGCAAATGCTCTTCAGATTTTAGCTTTTGTTATTGATTGTTCCTGCAGGGGGAAGTACTAGAGTCAATCAATGTTGCTTCCCCTCCACGTAGGGGGTTTGCTGTATGGCATAATGAAATCTCTTTAGAAGCAAGACTGAGACAGAAGCTTAGACATGCACCTTACTGTTTTTAAAACTGCTCTTACGATGTTCTAAACACTGTGATCTTTCCAAATGCGCTTTCTGTATTAGTTTTGTACTGTAGAAAATGATTCCCCATAAACTGGACTTTATAGTACTTAATGCAATGTTATTTATTGGCTTACCCTCGCCCCTCACATTTGAGTACAGTCTACTTATTAATATAAAACCTGTGATAATCCTTTGCCTTAAAATAAAACCTAATGCTAAATATTGAGTGTGTTCTAATGAATAATTCTAAGGTACTAATTAATTTCCCATTTAAAGCTTACTGCAGTGTCAAATAAAATATTACACAAAATGTTCTGTGGAGTGTTGCCGCCGATTCTGTATTTGTCTGAGTGTGTGTGTATCCTGATCCAGGACATGGTGGCCTGCTGGGTTCTATAAATAGGCATTAGTAATCCTTTTAGAGAAAAGTCCTGGTACCTCTCAGCTGTCAGCTGAATCCTCCCTAAATCCTTATGAACAGATTTCTCATGCCACAGAAGAACCCCCACCCCCAAAAAAACCCGTTACGTTCTTTCCCTCTCCATTTTTTTGTCATGATTCCTACTGAATCTTCACAATCTATTTGTGCTTACATCATTTTCCTATATAGAAAAATGCCAGAGATGGCTGAAGATTGATGGATTCACCCAATTTCAGCAGGGAAAGGGATCTTATAGTTATTAAAGTCTCATTCCTTTATGGAACAGGTTAGAAACTGAGTTTGAGAGAGATTTAGTGTCTTGATCAAGTTCTGAAGGGCAGAGGTGGGTCCAAAAGGTGGTCACCATTTCATTGGGTGAAAATGAGTTGTGTTATTGGGGCTGGCACACACTAGCAGACTGAGGTATGCCTTGGGCTACACAACTGCTTCCTTATAAGGCTGTGGTCTTTGCCCTGTCTGAGTTAGTCACAGTTATAGAGGAATACATTTTATAGGCAGTTTTTTCTGGGCTGGAAGGCATTGGCTCCTAGAGATTACCTCTGATGCTCTTTCACTATTGAAAACACTTCAGACAACTGTATTTGGAAAATTAAGGGGCATGCTTATATGCCACGGTGAAAAAGTTAAATCCTTCCCATCTTTGTGGTGGGTGCATGCCAATGCGCAAGCACTTTGGAAAGCATCTGTGTGGTCTGGTTGTTTTGAAATGACAGGAAACACTGGTCCTTTGAAAAATCAGGCTTTTCTCAGGCCCAGAAAATAGACACTGGACTGAAAAGGCGTTTAGACCCCAATTCTGGGCCTTGTTTGGTGCAGGTTTACAAAGGGATGAGAACGTTTTTCAAAGAAAGCGCCGGCCACGGGACTCTAGGACCCAGAGGCTGCGCGCGGAGCCAGCAGGACCCGCTAGATCATTTTGGGGTCCTAACGCGAGCTGTGGCGGGGCCGCGGGTTCGCGGCCCGCCCGGGGACTGTCGCCACAGAAACGCCGCGGGCATTGCGACGCGCGGGCGGCGCACGGTGCGCGTGGGCGTGTCCCAGCGGAGCCGCGCTCTAGCCCCAGCCCAGCCCCGTCGCTCGCCCCTAGGCCCAGCTCCAGAGTCCAGGCCCGCCGGCGGGTCCCGGTGCCCTCGGCGGCGACGCAGGTCGGGGACGGGCATGCCGGGGGGCCCCTTGGGCCGCCGCGTCCGCCGCTGGTGCGAGCCGCTGACGCGCGGAGATGAAGTTCCCGGGCTCGGTGCTGGCGTCCGTGTTCCTGTTCATGGCCGAGACGACGGTGGCACTGTACCTGAGCAGCACCTACCGCTCGGCCGGGGACCGCATGTGGCAGGCGCTGACGCTGCTTTTCTCGCTGCTGCCCTGCGCCCTCGTGCAGCTCACGCTCCTCTTCGTGCACCGCGACCTCAGCCGCGACAGGCCGCTCGTGCTGCTGCTGCACCTGCTGCAACTCGGGCCCCTCTTCAGGTGCGTGCGGAACCCCGACCTCTGCCTTCCACCTGCGCTCCCGGGGGTGGGAGGGTATGGGGGGAGGAACTCGGCCTTCCGGTAGGGACAGGTGGCTGGACCAGGGGCTGCGCCCGCCCAGCTCCCCAGCCCCACCATGCCGGCCCAAGAATGAGGCAGAATCCTGGGATAATGGTAATAGAGCTGAGGCATACTGCATTCTGTTGGATGGTACCATATGAAATTGCCAATCTTCCCTGAATTTGACCAACCCAAACGGCAATTTCATGTGCCTCCATCTCGTAAAACACGCTTTTTCTGCAGTCATGTGAGCTCTGGCAGGATTGGTTTATGTCGTCACAAACCCTTGGGAAGTGTGTTCTGAGTCGCCGTTATAGCCAAAGAGTGTACAGGTTATTTAATTTATTTTCTTTATCATATGCATAGCGCCTACTGTGTGCCAGGCACTGTTCCTAGTTCCTTTATTTAGTTCTCATACAGAACTCTAGAAATCAACGCATCATTCTTGTCTCCTGGTGTTTTTATGAATATGATGGGGAAACATGGGCTTGTAGAAATGTCTTCTGGCCCGGGTCAGCTTATAAACATGATCATTAAAGCTCCTACACAATGTGCCATGAAGACAAAAACCTGCTGTGTGTTTAGTAAAGATAAACTATTCCTTACATCTCTGGAAACTAATTTGTATTAAACAGCAAGTAAAAATACATGGTAATGAAGTGGACTTCCGTTTATCTAAGGTTCTTTCTCTATCAGAAAAACAAAACAAAGGATATGTGTCTAGATTAAAAATAATTTATAACATTGAACTTTAGCCATGAGTGACAGAGGAATTTGAAGCGATAGGAAGGGAAGAGACACACCTCAGCTGTCAGAAAATGGAGCTAGCCAGGAATTTTTACTACAAGGAAATCTCTCTCACACACACACACACACAGACACAGAAATACACAAAGTCTAGTAGCAAGATAGATTTTACAATGCCCTATTACAAAAATTTTCACACTTAAAGACAACCGTCCCCGCTGGCACTCACAATATTGACTTGTAGTTTACGCACAAAACCAAACCAAACCCATTGCTGTCAATTCCGACTCATAGTGACCCTATAGGACGGAGTAGAACTGCCCCATAGAGTTTCCAAGGAGTGCCTAGTGAACTCAGACTGCTGACCTTTTGGTTAGCAGCCGTAGCACTTAACCACTGTGACACCAGGGTTTACAGTTTACACAGTCATGACAAACTTGGTGAACAAGCTTCTCAGCCTCCAGAAGCCACAGAATCCTAGAAAGGCAGAGCAACAGGTACACTGGCAGGAGTAAAAAGTTGCTACTGGAGTCTTGATAGCCAGGGAAGAGTCCCCAGGGGGGTGGGAAGGAAAGGAAAGGGAGAGTGTAGAGGTTAAAAAGCCCTGCAACCCAGAACCATTTAGTGCCAGGAGAGCTAACCCTCCCTAGCCGAATAGGCCCTGTAGTCCTGATTATATTCCAGCTCAGTAAAATAACTGTGATCTGACTTTGGGCAAGACACTTAGCATTTTTTAACCTCAGTTTCCTCATCTGTGGAAAGAAACATTAATGTTCATGATGTTTAAGTGAGGTTACAGAGAAAACGGAACTGACATTTCTCAAGTGCTTCTCGCGCTAGGTGGTCTGGCAGGTACTTATATGGCCCAGTTCACTGAATCCTCACCACGAGGTAGATGTCATTGTTCCCATATTATAGATGAGGAAAATGAGACCCCAGATCACATTCACACAGCTTCTTAGAAATGGAGTCAGGTTAATTATGCTTCCTATGCTCTGTGTAAGAAGGCAGAGGAGTGTGCCATATATTTTATAAATAGTTGTATGTTAAATTAAGAAGAAGTTGGGTCATCTAGGCAAAATTTAAAAAAAAAACACAACCTAAATGGTCACCCAAGTAAATTATAATACCCTATCATTGCTGCCATTTAAAATACATATAAATACTAAGCGTAACCGCAGACAAAGCTAACAATATAACATTATGTATAAAAATGATATGGAAGATATAAACCTGAGCTCAAAGAAATATACTAAGATGTTAAGAGCAGTTATTTCTGGATAGTGGGGTTGTGTATGATTTTAAGTTTCACCTAAAAATATGGAAAGTATATAATTTTTCTTTTATCATATGTTTTTCTCTGTTATTTTTCATTTTTTCAATAAAAAATAGTTTAACTTTATTAAAGAAAGAAAAAGTTTGGTGCTTTTAAGTGATAACTTCTCAGTTATATAGAAGGTTTCAACAGAAGGTTCTGAGTGGCTCATTGGCTTCCTAGGGGAAAAACAAAACATAAAAAACCAAAGCAACAAATAACCCCCTTCCATTAACAAAGACTCATTTTAACACAGCTGATTTATTTCAAGGAGATATTGGACTCATGATCTTAGAGCCGATATATACAAAATGTGGTTCTAAGCTTCTTAGCTTCCAGATAAAAAGAAAAGCAATTTGCTGTTGTATATTAGCATGACTTAAATCTTACTCAGAGTTCTTCCTGCTGACTATTTGATTCTGTTTTAACTCTTAGGACATCAGCTTTACACACGTATCAAAATTATTTTCCCCAAACAAAGGAGAGTCATGGTGTGTCTCTTCCCCCTTACCAATTGGACTTAGTAATATTTTGGAATTGTTTTTGGAAAGTGTAGCTTGATTTACCTTTGAGTGGGTAGTACTAGCCAAACTCCTACTTTTTTTAGGTGAGATACTGTTTTTGAGTTCATTCATTTAAGCTGTAATGCATTAACATACTGTAATGATTTCGGGCTAAATACTACAAACTAGGCCCCCACTCCTCCTTCCCTTTGGGGAGGTGCTGGGAGAGGACCCTGTTTCATTTATATCAGTCTTCTATTTAAAACTGTAGTTGCAGATTGTATGATTGTTTCCTCATTAAGGCTGGGATCATATTCTCGGGTTTGAATGATATGAACATTAGATAAGGCCTTCAGTTAATGTGTGTGTGTGTGTGTTTTCTATTTTAAGAAAAATCCTATTGTGGATAATAGGTATTCTGGAAAACAAAATAAAACAAAACAAAGCCAAAAACCCTGTTACCAAAAGAACATTTAAACAAATGTTGCTATTTGTCATTCTTCTATAATTATATTGTTTTACAAGTTAATTGGAGAAAGAATAAATATGTTACAAGCTCAAGGAATTTTTTCCTTATTTTTTGTGACTGGTATAATGAGGAAAATGGTATATGAAAAATCTGAGTTTATAAAATAAAGGGTAAGAAGTTATAATAATCTTTATAGAATGTTGTAAAAACAGTTCACCATAGTATTTCTCTCTATAGTAAACTTTCAGGAGAATTTAAAATAATAATAGCCTACATTTGAAGAATTTTTTTTTCATTTCAAGAATGCTTTTACATACAGAATTTAATTTCATCCACTGTAAAACTGTCATTATCTCTTTTTTTTTTTTTTTTTTTACAGTTGAGGAATTGAGACTCACTGAGATTTAGCAAGTGGCTTTACAAAGGTCACATGGTGCTTTCTATTTAACCAGTTTGGTTTTTGTGTGGCCTTGCAGAGTACATCTGTTATACGCAGATAATGGACCTTATAGGAATTCATAATCAGTATTTCTTTTGAAAAAAAAGTATTTTTATCAATCACCTTAGGGGACTCTGGTACCACAACTTATTCGTGCTGGCACCAACACGCATGGTTTCAGCTAAGGAATAAATTCCTTCAGCTATAGCTATGTGATACTTGAAAAATGGGATAAAGTGAAAAAAAAAAAAAGGATCAGCCTGTTGATTATCTACATCAAGCATCAGCAAACTATGCCTCAGAGGCCAAATCCTTTCCACTGCCTGATTTTGTAAATAAAGTTTTATTGGAACACAGCCATACTCATTTGTTCAGTATTGTCTATGGCTGCTTTTGTGCTACAGTGGCAAAGTTTAGTAGTTGCAAGAGAGACCATGGCCTGGAAAACCGAAAACATTTACTCTCTGGCCCTTTACAGAAAATGTTTGCCAACCTCTAGTCTACATGATACTGAAAAGCAACCTTGAATTATTTTGATGAAAATATCTAATTTATAGCCTTATTTAGACAACCTCCCAAGCAAAAAACAGAGTTGGGGTAATTGGATAAGTCTTGCAGAATTCCAAGAATAGTAGTTTGTTTCTTGTTAGTTATCTTAACCAGTGGCATTGGGAGGTCTTAGGCCTTGTTTCACAAATTTATTGAATATAAGTATTCAAGGACAAATGTGTTAATTAGCTGGGAAAAACAGTGGATTGGGAGGCGGACTACATGGAATTTAAGGTCATCTCTGCCATTAACTCATTCTGGGACCTTCCTCCATATTCACATCTGAGGTGAAATGGGTCCCCACTGGTTGATCACTGAAGTTCCATTTCATCTACAGTTCTGCAAATGCTTCCTCTTCTACACATCCCTTTCCTCAGCACCTGAGACACTTGCTTGTTCCTGTGAACCCTTGTTTCATTCATCTCTTAGCATATGCTGGTGTTTCTTCTTTTTCTTTTAATGTTTAAAAATTCTAAGCTTGATTTTATTATGCAAGTAAAACACGTTTGTTGAAAGGAAAGAACAACAGAAAACAGATAAGCACAAAGAAGAAAACAAAACCTCTAATTTGATTGCCTAAAGAGAACAATTCTTAACGTTTTTTTGTATAGCCTTACTAATATTTTTAACAGTGGTATGCTGCTACACCCTGATTTGCAGCATTTACTGATTTCCGTGATGTAAATACTCCCATCACAGCCAATTTCAAGACATAATGGTTTAACTCAGTTGGCTCAACTGACTCACAAAATTCAGGACTATTTAACAGTCAACTCTTGTGAGTCAGTATGAGCCAGCTCAAGCACTCCACTGTTTGCATATATTTATATAGTACATGTAATTTGTGTATATTTATATAAATACATGTAATTTTACAAAAAGTGGAATTAGATATATTCTGTTCTAATTTGTTTCTTTCACTTAGAAAATATGACCAATACCATTATATATCAGTAAATGTGTATTTATATCATCAGTTTTAAGGACCGCATAGTGTTTCATTGAATACATATATTATGATTTATTTAATCATTCTTTTATTTCTGAAACCTTTAGAGTATTCCTTGAATTTTGCTATTATAAATAATGCCATGATACAAGAATTTGTGTTTCTTGCAGTAGGGTTTGTAAGTGAGAAAATATTTTATAAACTGAAAGTGGTATGTAAATATTAGTTGTTTTTATTATTTATATTCATTATATATATGTCTCTTTTCCAATTTAGATTGTGAACACCTCCAAATGAGACAGGGATATACAGCTGTCTTTGCATTCTCCGCAGCAGTTAGCAGAATATGTCTGCATTCAGCAAACATTTGAGAGATAAAGACAATGATCAGCCTGTTCTGTCTTCTACCCTTTGTTTTGGTCAGTGGTCCAACAGTGTGAAGTGGCCAGGCCTCATGTAGTCCTCAGTCATAGATCTGAGTTTTTCCTCAGAGTAAATTCACTTGAACCAGTTGGGCTTGAATTCATGACCTGAACTTCATAAACATTATTTTCAGCTGCACAAACTGGTCCAGGCTGCTTTACATGTTTTCATGTAATAATGTGTCTATGACCTTATGGACAAAATGTAGCATATAAACCACACACACACACACACACACACACACACACACACAGAGGCACATGCACACTGCTATGGACCTTCTTCCAGGAACAAATGAAGAAAGGTAACAATCACAAAATATGTCTGCTTTGTACTCATCAGAGAGGTTCCTGCATCTTCTCTCTTACATCAAGCTTTATTTTATTATTTCAAATTATAAATGTGTTCTCGTTGCCATAGTCACCTCAGGGCAAGAGTACAAAGTTAACATTCAATAAAACAGATGAAGCCATAAAATCTTCCGGCAGCATTATAAGTTTGTTATGCATATTTGGGGGAGGAAAGTCCTTTAACAATTTTTAAACCTAAGGCTATGAGCATTTCTTCTCACTCCTAGAGAAACCCATTTTTCCCCCAGCATTTTATTATGAAGGATTTCAAACAGAAAAGTTGAAAGAGTTGTACAGTGAATACCCTAGTACCCATCTAGATTTCTACAGTATAACATTTTGTTATATTCCCTTTTTATACATCTTTTCAAGAGCCCTGATGGCACAGTGGTTAAAGTGCTTGGCTGCTGACCAAAAGGTGGCTGGGTTGAACCCACCAGCCACTCTGTGGGAGAAAGATGTGGCAATCTGCTCCTGTAAAAATTACAGCCTTGGAAACCCTATGGGCAGTTTCTACTCTGTCCTATAGGGTCACTGCAAGTCAGAATCGACTTGATGGCAGTGGGTTTAGTTTTGTTTTGATTATTCATCCCTCCTCTATTCATCGATCAATACATCCTTTTTACGCACTTTGAATTAAATTACAGACATCAATTCTTCGGCATCTAAAGTATTACCTAGAGTTAAGTCCAGTTTTAAAATGCAGGTATTCTGTCAGTGTAGAAGAGGTCACTGGCTGAGGCTCTGTCCCTAGGGCAGGCTTGAAATTTCATAAATAAGACATAACTGGCAGGCCTCCAGGTGTGATTGACTGTAGCCCTGCCCCCTAAGGGCTTATGGGAACAGAGAGATAGGTAATGTGTGTGGTCTTCTAGGGGAATGCTGTATGGCAAGCTGCTCTGTGTTGAAGGATCCCCGACCATAGCTTCTGCTTTAACTGGGACAGTTTGGGGTTTATCTGTAGGATGTGGAGTGTTTATATGTTTATTATCTCTTCCCTTTGTAACAATGTGGTAAGGTAGGTATTATCTGTTTTATAATTGAGGGAAAGGACTCGGGTTAAGTGACTTGCCCAGGGCTGCACAACTAATACATATCATGAAGGGGAATTTAACATTTTTCTGTGGTACTGGAGCCTGAGCCACTTCCCTTGCTCGATTTGGCTCCCTTGCCTCAGTGGCTTTTAGTGTCACCTCTCGATTTGCTTCTCACTTAATTGCCACTGGCCTGCAAGCCTCAAGAGGCCTGCCTGCTAAGAACTGGTTCTTGGAGTGGATAGTTTTAGAGGAACGGCTAAAGTCCAGAGTAATTAAATCAAGGCTTTGAGAATCAGGCTCAGTGTAAGCAGGGTGACTAAGAAAAGACAGTCCAGTCTGCCTCTGAATAGCATCACTCGCTGATTTGTTTCCAGGTGTTTTGAAGTGTTCTGCATCTACTGTCAGTCAGGCCATGTGGAAGAGCCTTATGTCAGCATCACCAAGAAGCGACAGATGCCCAAAAATGGCTTCTCAGAAGAGATTGAGAAGGAGGTGGGCCAGGCAGAGGGCAAGCTATTCACCCACCGATCTGCATTCAGCCGGGCATCGGTGATCCAGGCTTTCCTAGGCTCAGCTCCCCAGCTGACTCTGCAGCTGTATATAAGTGTCGTGCAGCAGAACGTCACTGTCGGAAGAAGTATGTATGGTTTTTCATTTCTGCCTGGGTTTGGGAATCAAAATGGGAAGCAGAATATGCAGTTCATTCTGTTTCAGGTGAAACCTATTTATATATGCATTCAATCCTGAGTCTCTGTTCAGCTACTAAGCCCAAAATTTTGTAAATTAAAATAACAACTTTTATTTTACTTGTGAATCTGTAATTTGGGCAGGGCTCAGAAAGGATAGCTTACTATGCTTTATTTTATTCAGTGTCATTTGGGGTGGCTCAAATATGGGGAGCTAGAATCCTCTCAGGAGTCCTGGTGGTGCAGTGGTTAAGAGCTTGTCTGCTAACCAAAGGGTCAGCAGTTCGAATCCACCAGCTGCTCCTTGGAAACTCTATGGGGCAGTTCCACTCTGTCCTATAGGGTCACTCTGAGCTGGAATCGACTCAACAGCAATGAGTTTTTAATGGGAGGATCCTCTCAAGGAGCCCTGGTGGTGCAATGGCTAAGCGCTTGGATGCTAACTGAAAGGTTCGCTGTTCCAACCCCCCAGTGGCTCCCCAGGAGAAAAGATCTGCTCCTGTAAAGATTATAGCCTAGGAGAAACCCTATGGGGTAGTTCTACTCTGTCCGTAGGGTCATTATGAGTTGGAATTGACTCAATGGCACACAAGAAGAAGAATCCTCTGAAGGGTCATTCATTCACATGTCTTGTGGTTGATGCTGGCTGTTGCTGGGGGCCTCAGTTCTTCTCCATTTGGTCTCTCCACGTGGGTTAGTTTGGGCTTCCAAGGGTGAGTGTCCCAAGAGCAAGAGAGGGTCAGGCAAATGCCATATCACCTTTCGTGACCCAGCCTTGGAAGTCACCCAACATCAATTCTGCTGCATTCTATTTGTTGAAGCAGTCACAAAGTTCCGCACATGTTCAGGAGGAGGGAAATAGACTCTGCTTTTTGTTGAGGAATGGCAGGATTCTGGAAGATGGTATGAGATTCAGATAACCGCTGTAGCTATTTTTGGGAAATACAGTTTGCCATAGGCTAAACGTACTTTTAGATCTGTTTGGATTTCGCCTCTAGCTTTCAGTGATATTTCTAAACCAGCTGAGACAGTTGGTTTTAACAACTTCTTTGTGGTGAATGATGGATTCAAGGCTACTCTCCTGTCTTCTTGAAGTTCTCATCAGTAGATCAGTTTTTGTCTATTTGTTTGTTTGTTTTTTAATTGTGGTGAAAATATACACAACAAATATTCACCAGTTCAACAATTTCTATGTATATAATTCGGTGACATTGATTACATTCTTCATGTTGTGCAACTATTCTGGCTATCCTTTTCTAAATTATTCTACCATAATTAACATAAATTCAGGGCTCCCCTAAGCAAAACCTCCCTCTCTCCCCCTTCTTCCTATCTCTAGTAGCCACTAATAATCTCTGGTTTCTATATATTTGCTTATTTCGTGTAAGTAAGATCATACAGTATTTGTCCTTTTGCACCTGACTTCTTTTGCGGAGCATGATGTTTTCAAGGTTCAGTCATGTAGTGGCATGCATCAGGCCTTCATTTCTCTTTATGCCTCAGTAAATTCCGTTGTATGTATATTTGGTGTTTTGTTTATCCATTCATCTGTTGATAGACATTTCAATTGTTTCCTTCCTCATTTTGGCTATTGTGAAAAGTACTGCAGTGAACTTTGGCGCTCTTGCTTTCACTTCTGAGTATATACGTAGGATTGGGATTGCTGGCTAATATGGTAGTTTCATGTTCAACTTTTTGAGGAATCAATAGGTTGATTAGCTTTTAAATGAACACAGTTTTATAACCTTAGGGCTAGTCTTACATCATCAAATTGAGGGCAGGTTTTGGTTAAGCCAACTTTCCAAAAACCTCTACTCGAAATGGAAACAAGTGAAAAGCCTTCAAGTGAGAAGGGAAAATAACCCCTTCCAAATATTAAAGTATGGGTAAAAGAAAACTAGATATTCTGATTAAGTTTTACTAGAGATAAGCAAAAGTGAGTTAAAAGCCTAAGTTGTAAAAAAAAATATATATAAGAACATATAGTATTTGGAATTTTGAAAAATCACTGTTATTGATTTCACTCCCCTGAATTTTATCCTCTTTCTGTCTGTATTTTAGGCTAGATGGTAAAAGGTCTTAATTTATGAGTGGGTTGCAGAGTACTCGCATGTCAGAGCTCCCTCTTTTATCCAGGTTACCTGGGGTGACTACAATTCTTAAGATATGATGTTAGGACCTTAAGCTAAGGTCTTGGACCGTGATGGATTAACATTTATGTGAAAATGCCTCCCACAGCCCCAAGCAAACAGTAGGTGCTTGTCATGGTTTGAATTACATCCCCCAAAAAATGTGTGTATCAATTTGGCCAGGCCATGATTCCTGGTATTAAGTGTGGTTTTCCTATATGTTGTAAATCCTGCCTCTGTGATGTTAATGAGAGAGGATGGGTGGCAGTTGTGTTAGTAAGGCAGGACTCAGTCTACAAGATTGGATTGTATCCTGAGGCAATGTCTTGAGATATAAAAGACAGAAGT